AGGGAGAGGGAGAGGGAGGGGGAGGGGGGGAAGGCGCATGCCCGAACTCCACATGCCCAGCAGGCAAGCAAGAGAGAGAAAGAACTTCCATACCCCCGAGTTCTCTCTCCAGTAGTTTCGATGCTATCAACTTCCATTTCTCATCAAAACCGATCGACACTGCCCGCCCGGGGGAGCGATCTGCAGGAAGAGGCTACGGCTACGGTTCCATGTAGAACTTGCAGTTCTCGCCCGTTAGGAGCTGATTCGAAAAATCGTGTGGATGTATAGAAGGTCGTGATCAGCTCGCCCGCAGACAGCGTCCAAGTCAATCTCCAGCGGAGGCTATAGGTATAGGTTGCGGGATCTTGAGTCCAAGATCAACCTTTTCAGTTCGTGGCTCGAGGCTTCAGGACGGCAAACACACCCACAGCGATTTCAGGCTTAGCTCGACGGCTCTTGTCCAACAGCGAAAACAGCTTCAAGCTGTCTTCTCGTTTGCAGTGCACTCCGGCGTGGGGAACTCTCCCGTCGGACTCTTGTGCTCTCAATCCGGTGGTGAAAGGCTTACGTATTGAAATCTTTTAGCAGACTGCATCGAGGTAGGGCCGAGGATTGAAGTGAGGGGTTCCCTGAAATTGCAAACGATCGGCTTCGATCCCAGGATGCTCGATCTTCGAACGTTTCTCTTGGCGTGAATGCTGCTCAGCGTATGTTTGCGACAGCTCCAGGTCCCCAGTCCAAGGTCCGCCCCAAGCCTTCAGGACGGAGGATGCCCACAAAAAGCAGGCGACAAGGAAACTTTCGGGAGTTGCTTCGATTGCTCTGTTCGGAGTTCGCGCCGGGTGCTCGGGATATCTCGGGATGGCTCGGGTGAGAGGGATCTTGAGCCCCACAAGATTCGCAAAATCCGTTCGAAAGCATTGCTCTTAAATGTCAAGAGCTCTGCAGAGTTATCTTTCGCGCGTTCCTCTGCTCTGGTGCAGCTCCATCTGCAGCACTTGCTGCTACGAGGAAAAGCCCTGGGCTCAGGTTTCTCAAATGCCCGGAGGCACCAGATACATCAAAGCCGTGGAAAGCAGAAACCAGGAGGTAGATCTCTACCACTTTGTGTGATGACCATTGCTTGTGTATCTGGGAGTTATCCTCTGCCGCTATCGTTCAGGCGGTTTCAAGACACCAGCTTGCAGACGCATGCGAATGCTCCGTCTGTGCTTGTCGTCCTATGGACCGCAACCGCATGCTTGCTCGTTTGGGAGAGATTGACACCAACTCCTACAACGGCACCGCGCGAAGTAAGGCTTAGATTGTCACATCTGTGCGTGTCCTGTCACTTCGCTCCAGTAATCCCCAATATAAAAGGTGTGCGCACTCGCTCACAGGGGTGCCGGGGTTCCTTTCCTACCAGAAAAAGGAAGAAGACTGTGTGTATGATCTTATAACGAACCTAGTAACCTAGTATTATCTAGTATTTATTGTGTCCACACGAGCGGTTGGTGGTGGGCCGGGAAGAGTCGCTGCCTAAGACCGTGCATTTTCAAGACGTTGCAAGATCCAGAGGATTGAGTTCAATTTTGTTTTTGTCAGGGTGAGTCCTGCACCCTCATCCTTACTGAAGGCGATTCGGCCAAGGCTTGGGGAACCTGCAACGTAGGGCGCACGGGCTGTCGAGAGAGCTTCTGAAATGCGAAGGCACTGGCAGTTGCTGGTCTCGGCGTTGTTGGCCGCGATCGTTACGGTGTTTTCCCACTGCGCGGCAAACTTCGGAATGTGGTGGTTCTCAGTATTTTTCAGGTGATAAAGAGAGACATTGAGATGGGTTGAGAAGCTTCTGGCGAATTGCTACTCCATTGAGGTCCGCGAGCTGACAGTGAAGCAGATGCTGGAGAACAAGGAGATCGAGCAGGTGCTGATGTTAAAGTGCACCGGTTGGGTCGGAAGCCGGACGAAGCGCTCGGAATGTCAGGTCCTGAAAATCATGGCTTTGGATGCCAGCAAGGCTTGCTCGACTTGTCCTGCCGGTTTTTTTCCAGCACTGGCCACTTACAGAAACTTAGGAAACCCTCTTCATACCATCAGGGGAATATCTTGCCACCGGTCGCATGGTTTTGTTCAAAGATGTTCTCAGTCGTACCTCACACAGGCATACGTGTTTCACTTGCTTTCTTTTCGGCGCACGGCATCTTCACCAACACTTGATTGATTTTTCCTGCCTGCATGGCCCTCACAGTTGTCGCTTTACTTTACTTCCAGTTCACATCCCGTGCAGAAATGTGCCTTCCACCGCGACTGCATGGAACAATTGCCGTGCCGCGAGACGGGTCTTAGTTGAATCCTTTCATCTTAGAAGTCCGGGGTTTGTGAAGATGATATTGGTGTCCTTGTACCCATCCCTTGTTGGCCGTGGTACGGTGCCCAAACTTCATTTAGGACTTCGACACTCTGTGTCGGCTGACCCGTCTTTTGCAGAGATGCTGCATGTTGTATCTCTAGGGCCCCTAGGGCACCGCAAAGTGCGCTCTTTGGCAGCACGATAGTGCAGTGTCTCCAAGTCTGGCTCTAACTTGCTGGATTACTGCAGACCACTTGGCCGGGTTGAGCCGACGAGTTGACATGGCTTCTCCTTGGCAAGCGCGATGGCCACGTTGATAGAAGTATCAGAGCAACCAGCGGAAAAGTGCACAGCTAGTGTCCGGGAGTTTGGATCCCAATTTTGCGCGTTGCATCGAGACCACAGGACGAATATCGCGATGCGAAAGGTCTCCGTTATGGTCCCTCGCTCAAAGATGCCTTTCAGTACTTTTTGGTATTTTCAGGGTGGGCGACCTCTCGAGGTTCCATTATGATCATGACGGACCAGGACCACGACGGATCCCACATCAAGGCAATGTCATCCCCCTTGACTGCTAGGAGCTTCTTGTGTTGTGACTTGGAGCTGTTAGGGCCTCATCATTAACTTCATTCAGCACTGGTTCCCTTCTCTTTTGAGGCTTGGCTTGGCCAATGTTTGCCGTGAAGAATGCAGTGGTGCGCCCTCTGTCGCAGGTTGCCAGGCTTCCTGAAAGAGTTCGTCACTCCGATTGTGAAGGTTGGCAGCTAGGTCTAAGTTCCTGCCCGGCAGCCAGCATCGTAAAATCGCAAGAGTCACATCGGGATGGTCCATGGGATGGTTGACTTTGCATAGTTTGAGGATCTATAGGTTTGGGCACACCGTGCCTTTTCTTTTCCCCTCCCAACTTTCCATGCGCTTGTTTTTTTGCCTTTTTCTGATCTTCCGTTCAAGATTGTATAGCCGTGGATGTTTTCAACCGCTGGCACCATCTCCTTGTGATCATGCTCCTGTCGGGCCCAACGTCTCCAGGGCTGTAGCCTTTTCATTCTCTTGATTCAGGTCTTGTCGTAGTAGTTTTGGAAGACGGCTGGATGAAGTTGGTGATGAGTGATGATTGAGTTAACGATAATGAAATGAAGGGTATCAAGATACAAGCAGCTACCTTTTCCTGAGGTGTGGAACAGAGCTTCGGTGGACGGAGCTCCTCCACACCCCTCGCACCCCTGCTAAGTACAAGGAAAACGAAAAAGCAAAAAGGGAATAGCCAATGGCCAATGAACGAGGGCTGTTCACGCACACCTGGCCCAGCAAGGGGCACAACAAATGAAGTCAACCACTCCTGCCCAAAGCTGTTGTATTAGTATTTGCAGTAGACCTTTACAGCGCATTGCCAGACTAGCGACACACCAGACCTGTATCGTGTCAGACGCATATGCTTGCCCAGCCTGTGCACTGCGCACTCCTAGGCTGAGAACAGAGCGGAGAAAAGTCCAGAAAAAGGCGCCGGAGGTAGTCTGCACACGCGACTCCTGGCAGGTGCACATGCCCTTGCACATGACGTGTTGTACACATGTCCGACAAACTGGACTTAAACGGCCCCATGAACATTCATAGAAGGGGCCGTAGGTGTTTCATCGGGAGGCTGAACACCTCATAGCTCAAAGAAATGAATACAGGAGAGAAAGAACTGCCATTAAAGCGATCATAAACGGATCCCCTTCATCGAGGATTGCCTCAATCGAGACCATGGCGCCGTGACGGAAAGCGGTTGTGTCACTTTCCCAGAGGATGTTTGCTCTTGTGGACGGCTGGATGATGTTAGTGATGATTGTGTTAACGAAACTGAGATGAAGGGTACCAAATATGCCAGACGCAGGGAGTGGTATACACAGGAGGAGATGATAGGTAAGGGGTATGGTTTCTGCCCCGCTACGCCATGCGCAAGTGAATGACGTACCACGACAATAAACTGGACGATGAACAAAGATGAAGACGCATGCCCCAGCTGCCTCGCCGGGGCCTGGAGCGGATGCAAGCAGCTACCTTGTTTGGGATGTGGAGGAGAGCTTCGGTGGACGGAGCTCCCCCACACCCCCTCGGCCTCCCTGCGAAGTAGAAGGAGAACGAACATCAAGAAAAAAGGGAGGTGACCCCCATAGGACAGGCTCGGAAAGGCCTTTGGTCAACGGCAGCTTCGATACATCTACGATCGGTTGTTGCTTTGTGGTCAGCAGGGCATGATGTGAGCTCACTAGTCGTCGCATTTTAGCAGGTGTCCAGAGGCGACGAGACCCTGACATTTTTCACATTGCCGGAGTATGAATCTTGGAAGAGAGCGCTGGCCCAAGTCTGTGCTCGTGTTTGGAACTGTCTCAAGCCGCGATGAGTTTTTCCTTTCTCACTTATGAAGGCCAACGGTGATGGGCGCGGATGGAAATGCAAATACTACAAAGGCCACCACGCAGCATCGTAGGCCACAAGAGCACAGCAAGTGTAGAGAAGCCGGTGACTTCGTCTTCCATCATCGTCAAGCGTCATGAATACGGCAGGCCTGGGCACATCGACAAGCTCAGAGGCCAAAGAGTGCCCGCAAGAGACGGGCAAACAGTGGCAGTGTTGCATGGAACCGCAGCCCGTGACCAGTTGGTGCTTTATCGACTTTTGAGGTATTTTGCAGATCTCGAAGACCACGAGCTGCAGTTCACGTACTCAGGCTCAGTGTGCTCGCCCCGCAAGCAGACAGGCCAAAAGCTCCCTGCAGGAAGCCGTGATGATGATCTCATTGATATGGCCTTCGCCGCCAAGAGGCGTGGCTTGTAGATGCTTGTAGCCTAATTCTGATCCTCCGCTTCGACGAGTTGAGGTCTGATGACCGCAAGGTCTGGATCTCAAGCGTGGAGGCCCCCACGTCTGGGCATCTGGTAGATTGTCGGCAAAATGGTAGACATGCATGCACGACAGGAAGGCACTTTCGTGGATCATTCACAGCCCACATTGAGTTACTCCGACTTCATCGAGAAGGACCTCCTGCACCGACAGAAAGCGTAGACCCTGATGCTCAGCACGAGAAAGGAGCTTTCTTTGTTTGCCAAGTACGACGTGGAGCGTGCCGTGCAGCACCCTCGAGCTCCGCCCCAGACAAGCCGCACTAGAACTCGCAAAGGTTCAAGGGCTTGGGAACAAAGTCACTTGTGTTTTGCCAAGGCCTTCCCTTGTCGACGGTTTGAAGCCCGGGCAGCGCAAGGTGACGGCTGGGCCGCGACAACTGCGACATCTCGTAGTCGAAGTGCTGGCAATCGAATGCCGTTGTTCTAGTGTTGTTCTGTTTGCCATCGTTGGCCGCGTCGCAGTTGCCGTCAGGTGGCAGGCGTTGTTCATCCGAAGTAGTTTGCATTTTCCTTGGATTTGTCCCTTAACGTGTCGGCTGGAAGCCCTCGAAAGCTTACTAGTAGCATTGTTGACATTTTTGCCGGGATCGAACGACAATTCCATCAACTAGAGCGCCGAAGAAGGGAAGTCCGCGGCAGGTCCTGTATGGATCCTTCAAGAAGAAGCTCACCAACGAAATCAAGGTGGCGCAGCTTTCAGGCGGGAAGCTGATCAGCTTGCGCTCGGCCTGTTCCTCCGAGGTAACCGCAGCGCAAGATTGCCAAAGCATTCCTGCCCAGACTCGCATAGACTCCGATCCTGCAGAACTGAACGTCGGTGCTTCCGTAGTGACAAGACGAACTTGTTCTGAAAGTCTTCAATCAGAGCCGGCAGTAGCTAAATGTGAACGATATTTGATTCCAGTCCACGGTCATGAGCATACATGTCGTACAGTTGTGATTTCCGCTGCCATTAGGGCACTTGAGTCACAACAGATAGCTCGCAGTATTCTGGCGAAAAGTCCGACCAGTCTCAAACGCGATCAGTTGCGAGATCCTAACTGCACCAATTACGATGTAATGGTGGTCTCGTTCGCCTCTAGAGAGAGGGTTGAAACCTCAACAAAGATCCGAGAACATCAACAAGCATCTGCAAGAACATCAAAAGGATTATGTGGTAACCTCACTGAGGCGTCTACGGCTTCGAAGCTTTGGGGAACATAGTCTCGAAAATCGTACTCACGCTGCAGGGGGCGGGGGGGCACGGGCGCGGGAGTACAGATTTCGGCATTTTGAGCTTGAAAGTCTCGAAAATCGTACGGCCTCTATCTGGGGTCCAGGAAGCGGGGGGGCACGGGCGCGGGGGAGTACAGATTTCGAAATCTGTTCTCCCTGCGCTCCCTGCTCCAGAAAAGCCAGAGTTCAAGGCTATACCGTGCCCCCCCGCCCCCTGGACCCCAGATAGGCCAGAGGACGGGCGCGGGGGAGAGGCCAGCGCACAGGCGCGGGGGAGTACGATTTTTGAGACTTTCAACCTCCAAATGACGAAATCTGTACTCTCCCGGGCGCGGGATTTTCGAAACTTTCAAGGCTCAAGATGCCTACTCCCCCGCGCCCGTGCCCCCGCCCCCTGGACCCCCAGAGCAGAGCACGGGTGTGGGGGAGTACGATTTTCGAGACTTTCAAGGTCAAACTGCCGGGCATTTTGAAAGTCTCGAAAATCGAACTCCCCCGCTCTGCTCTGGCCTCTCTGGGATCGAGGGATCTGGGGGCACGGGCGCAGGGGAGTACAGATTTCGGCATTCTCGAAAATCGTACTCCCCCGCACCCGTGCTCTGGCCTCTCTAGGGTACAGATTTCGTCGGGCGCGGGAGTACAGATTTCGGCATTTTGAGCCTTGAAAGTCCCGAAAATCGTACTCCCCCGCGCCCGTACTCTGGCCTCTCTGGGGTCCAGGGGGCGGGGGGGCACGGGCGCAGAGGAGTACAGTTTTCGGCATTTTGAGCCTTGAAAATCTCGAGAATGCTCGTGCTCTGGCCTCTCTGAGGTCCAGGGAGCTGGGGGGCACGGGCGCAGGGGAGTACAGATTCCGGCATTTTTTTGACCTCTCAAAGTCTCGAAAATCGTACTCCCCCGCGCCCGTGCTCTGGCCTCTCTGGGGTGCAGGGAGCTGGGGCACGGGCGCAAGGGAATACAGATTTCGCCTCTCTGGGGTCCAGGGGGCTGGGAGGCACTACAGATTCCTCAATTTGCTGTCCTGTTTTGTACATTTCTTATTGTGGTTCCTGCGTTTCTTGTTGTGGTTCTCGCTCGTGTTCCTTCTTGTGGTTACACCCATGTCTCTCGCCTCTACTACGATTAAGAGAATGTGTCGAGCGACGCTCCAAGCAGAGACGTACGCATTGCAAATTCAAAACGCGCAGGAATCCGGTGATAGGATCCGCCCTGCAAGATGGCGTGAGGACTACTGAGGCCTACCCCGAAGGGGGAGACCGTGTCGACTGGGTTGACACCGCAATCCAAGTAGCCGATTGTTTCACCAAGTCAATGAAACCTGGTTTCGTAATCAAGGTGTTAGACAGCGGTGTATATAGCATCAGTCGTGCGAAATTGTAGTCCTAGTTTGCAGACGCTACTTGCAGGACATACCTCGTATGTACCATATGTAGCTGAGTCGTGCATCATCAGACTGCAGACGCCACTCGCAATGAGGATGATAGAAATATAGTACCTCTAGTGGTTAAGCCAGTGGCCCATGAAGTGAGAACAGGTTGAGTGTACAGTTGTTATTTCTGCTGCCATTAGGGCCCTTGAGTCACAGCAGATAGCTCGCAGTATTCTGGCGAAAAGTCCGACGTCCGACCAGTCTTAAACTAAAATACTACTTCTATCTTGCACAGATATGCAGCGATCATGTGAATACCTCGTACACCTTCCGTGCAACTTTCCTCAGGCATGCGATTCGTTGTTTGTGCGACTTATTCACTTTCATAATTCAACACCACCAACACAAAGGAAGGTGGACAATCTCATGGCAGACAGGCAAAGTTCGTCGCCCCAATCCTTCGACTTTCGGTGCCTTTTCACACCTTGTTTAAGCCAGTGAAGCCACTCAAGCGATGTTGCTGAATGACATGTTTTGCGCACGGTACTGCAACCTTCATAATCTCAGCTATCTTGAAGGCTATGTGGCCGAAACCTCGGCATACCACCATGGTGAGGCTTCTCTGCAGGCGGGCCTGACAAGACGAGGAATCAGTCAGTCAGTCAGTGTGTGCACGTGTGTGTGTGTGTCAGAGTGGATGTCAGTGCAGCCGCGCAAGCATTTTTGAGTGTTGAGTCTGCAACATCCGACAGAGTCGACTATGCACGAGTGGTACCAGATCGGTTTTGGTGGTGCAACAAGTGCAGACATGCTCAATGGCTTTCCCATGGATTTGCCTGCCGATCGATCTGCAACGTGCTCGCATGATGTTCGGGACTGGGGCAGGGCACCATCATCGCCATGGCCCAGACATTCGTCGGCAGCAATAATGTGGGTGATCCAAGCTTCCAGCTGCTGTTGCTGTGTATGCCTAAGTTGCGCATGGAACTCTTCAGCAATGCTTCGCATGGTTTTGATGAGATCAATCTCTTCGAGCCGCGGGGCCAGTTTGGATCCAGGCTACAAGGCGGAAAGGCACCGAGAGGGCACCCGAAGAACCTCGATGATTGCCACCGTTGTCCAACATGCGGCCACACCGCTGGGCTTCACAGGACCATGCTGCAGCCCGTTACATCTTCACGTGCCTCTGCAAGGCTCGCAATGGTTTTCCAAGGAGCTATGCTTTGCTCAGCTTTCTCAAGCCCCGCAATGAGGACATCAACAGAAGTAGTATCATAGGTCGAACCAAACCGTGCGAGAGAGAGAGAGAGAGAGTGTGTGTGTGTGTGTGGGTTTATGCACGGGGGTGCTTGTCCCCAGCCTCACTAACAAAGGTATGGATCAGGGGTGGAAAGTAAAAGGTACCTGCACAAAGTACGGTGACGTTGGATCGTAGCTTGGGCACCTGCATGTATTTTCCAGCTGTTTTCATCCTTCAAAACAGGGTTGCAGGTAGTGCTCGAGCGTATGGGATTCAGCAACCCGCAATCTTTGAATGCAGTGGAATAGACAGATGCCCATCTGGACAGACCAGGGAAAGCAATACATTTCGGTTCAGGGGCCCAAGGCACGGGGGTCCCAGTACTTACGTATCGGCTCAGGGGTAGCTCAGCATAAACAAGCGACACCACCTCCCGAGATATGGTCCGGACCGCATTATCTACTTTACGGCGCACGGGTGGTTCATCAACAACCAGGCGACACGAAGACAAGTGTCAAAAACTAAGGAAGCTAGACAAGGCCGGGCAAAATGTCCTGTACGCTACAGGCAGTGTTCATCATTGAAAGGGCGAGACCAAGACAACCGTCAAGGGGTGAGGAGGGAGGCTAGAAAGGCGAGAGGAAAAGAGAGGATGTCATAATAAGAGTCGGCAGGGGCTTAGCAAAGCAGGCTCAGCGGTCACGAAAGCAGGTTCAGGGGTCAGAAAAACAGGTTCAGGGTCCAAAAAGGCAGGGGGTTGTTAGAAAACAAAGATTGGAGGGGTTAGAGAAAATGGTTGCCCAGCGCTTCGGATGCTGTCAGCTTTTTTTGATGGCTACCGCGGGAGCAGTGCCGCGCTAACTGCAAGAAAGCATGGGCACGTGTGCATGAAATCATCGCTTAGTGCAAAGCCAGCTGAGTTTTCCTTTTGCAATGAAGTTTGTCAAGAAAGCCGCGTTGAGACACCCCGCATCTTAGGAAAGGCGTCAGGCCGCCTGTGCAGCCTTCGGGCTGCAGCTACGGAAACTACAGATAGCTCTTGAGAACAAACTTGGAATGAGTGCAGCAGAAAATTTCTGATGAAGAAGTCTATGCTCTCATCAAACTCAGCAACTGTGTGGAGCAGCCCATCAGAAATCGCATCAGGAGATTTTGGCCATCTGCTTTGTATTTTCATAAGAACATTCACTGGCCTTGTTCGTCTCGACTGTTATTTGTTGTACCTTTGGTGCATCGTGACTTCGAACGGCAAACGAGGAAGTGGCCCAAAGGCCACATACAATCATTCAACTATCTGTTTCCATAGACTTATGTGCGCAAGGCTGCGATTCGAGAAGTACCACAACAAGTCCTTCACAATCTTTCTTACTGGGTAGAATCCGGGTAGAACAGACGTGGAAGCTTGATTTCAAACAATCATGAAGACCGGCATGTTGAAACCCCAATCAACTTCACTGTCACCTTTCGTGCATCGGCAATGAACAAACCGATGCAGCAGCAGACTTTGGCTCTGGTTTTGAGTCATCCTGGCATTCAGGGATGTTGTTCACTTGCAAGCGGGGTGACAAGGCACATAGTTGGGACCTACCAACGAAGCTACCGACTCCGTGGGCAAGGAACCTGGGCTTGTGTTCCTGTATCTGCGCGAGTTGCACCTGGATCCTGCAGGATACCAGGTGGACTTAAACAAGCAAGGTATATCACGACTCTGTCTCTCAGGTTCGCCTGTGTCATTCCAGAGTTTCGTGTTCACGGCAACACTCCGATGAGTTGTAGACGACGTTGGTGCTGTGATCAAGGAGCGCATTGCGTTTGTGAGCTTTGGGAGTCTGTCACTAGCAGCTGTGCATTTGGGCAGCCCCCCCGTCCCCTGCCACCAGCCGCAATTAACATAAAAACAAACTATTACAAGGATCTGTGCAAGTCTCTTTAAAACCTTTCAAACGGTGCTGCCTCACTCGTAGAATATGTCCATTGGGAGGAGGGCGGGCAAGCCGCCCGCAAACAACTACCCTGATGAAGCCAAGCCCGCCAAAGCCGAAAGGCAAATCATTTTCAAACCACGTCGTTTTCTAGACTGTTCGCATCATAAACTTTCAACAGCAGTAGTGGTAATCAGAACGCTGTTGAAGGCATCGAACCTAACGTTCAAGACTTGCTAGAAGGTGCTGCCCCCGCTGTGACGTAATCAAGGATGACAATCAACACAAGCCCAGCTGTAGAAGCAACTCAAGCCCAGCCAGGGCTGACAACTGGCACCATTTCTGCAACACGCGCTTTAGCGATGTTACAAACTTTGGAGATATAACAATGCTTCAAGATAATACACACATCAATAGCCGTGACCAGCACCGTAACTCCGGTCAAGGGGTCGATCAGGACACGGGCCAAACAAATCCGTCCAAGACTACAAGATGCTACGGGAGGATGGGGCAAGAACAAAGCGACGGCGGCCGCGGCGTGCCAGACCATCGAGGGCACAGCGCAGCACCGGCCATTGCTAGAGAAGCACCTCTCGCCCGGTCACCGGTGTCAGGGTCTTAGGGCGTTAGCTGGGACCGCGTAGTCGGGCAGAGGGCCTTCCACTCTACCTCGGCGTTTTGCATTTCACCTCAAGCACTTCGTTTGCGGCAGAGTCGGACCGCCCACAGAAGCCGAGTCAGCCTAAGTCCTACGCCGCCATGCGCCCGCGTGCTTGTGTCAGGCACAAGCCTACTGAAACCCACCATTAACTTGCTACGCTCCGAAAACAGAGGAGGTATGTAGACGAGCACGACAACATGAAAAATAAAATACATTACAAAGCCAGATAAATCCATGAACAGTTTTGGTGCCAAACTGAGACGGTATCCGCTCGCTTCTCCAGACAGGTGACTCGCTGTTTATTCCCCGCAGAGGATGATGCTGTCTTGGAGCTTCTGCCTCGAAAAAATGAGGTGTGAGCACTTCTTAACATCTCATCTTGTACCTGAAGGTATCTGAGCGAAGAAGGCCACCAAATCGAGCCCAGTTAAGACCTCAGCATGGAGGTGAAGCGTGTGAAACGTGCGGTTTTGCAGTATTCGTCGAAACACCTTCCTGGTGCCAGGATTTTACTGTCCTGTCATCCCCCTCGCGCTTGTCAATGGTGCTGATGGTGAGCCGCTTTGTTGAGAGAAGGTACTTGGCAAAGACGCGAGGGATTCTGCACAGTCTAGCACCCTGTGGTGCGACGCAATGCGCTGAACGCGAACGTGCTATGCGTTGGACAGCTGGCTCTCGCTCTTACGGGAAGCCCGTTGCACCGGACCTGGTGGAGGTATTGGGACGGGATGGAGCACCAGCATTCCCAATCACAATCCGCTGGTATCTCGGAGCGAGCAGATCTCGTTTGGAGTGCAGCCATCTGCCAGACACCCGAGGCGGGACGTGATCGCCAACATCCGACGCCTGCTCAGAAAGTGCTGCACCGAGTCGTGCTGCAACCCGCTGTTGTCATAAGCGTGTATCTCTCCCTGTGTAACCAACCCAGCAAGCACAGGGCAATACGAGTCTGGGGGCTGCAATGCGAGTGCTGTCTTCAGACACTAGGAAGCAACTGCTGCGGCAACGCTGCACCGCACATGCAAGGCAGTCAAAATGAGAGGCGCAATCTTACGACATCTTCGTTCTGGCGGAAGAACCTCTGTCCGAATGTGTTTAGGGATGCTGGAGAAGCTCGCGATTTGCCCGGCACCAACATTCCACTGAAGCTTTAAGTCACGCACAGGACGCAAAGACGGACTCGGACCGCAGCACCCCTTTGGCAAAAAGCGGAACGGAATCTGCAATCAATTCAGGAAATACACCGTCCTCCTCAAGCGGTTACGATCTACAGCCGACGGGCTACAAGGAGTGATGCTGAGTAAGCTTGAGCTTCAAACTGCAAACCATCCAGAACAACATTTGACAAAGACGACGCGGCCTTCTCCCCCCCTTCCCCCTGTCCCCAGGGCCCCACTGATGCTCATGATGCGCTGCGGGTCCCGGACTGGGGCCGCTGATGCTCACGACGCGCGCCCTTTGGGGAATACGCAAGGCTACCCGAAATTTCGCAAACAAAAACACGAAATTAGGCGGTGTCGGCGACCTGAGCGATCGCGCCTTTTGCAGCGAGCTAAAGCGCGCAGACGGGCGGGGAGCGCACAGAGCAGGCCTCACTGATGCTGATGATCCCGGGTCCCGGACTGGGGCCGCTGATGCTCATGATGCACGCCCTTTGGTGGCTGCCCATGGCTTCCCAAAATTCTGAAATTGGGTGGCATAAGCGGTCGTGCCTTGGGTAAAAGCATAGCTAGCAAGCTGAAGCTCGCCCGAGGCTCGGATCCACAGAGCGCGCGCGCTCGGGGACCGAGCGCTGCCCGACTTCAAACCGCAAACCATCTAGAACAGCATTTGACAAAGACGAGGGGGGCCTTCTCCCCCCGGTGTCCGCAGGGCCCCACACTGATGCTGATGATGCGCCGAGGGTCCCGGACTGGGGCCGCTGACGCTCGCCGTTTGGTGGCTTTGCATGGCTACCTCAAAATTACGCAAAACAACTCAAAATTGGGTGGGGTCGGCGGCATAAGCGGTCGCGCCTTTTGCTAAAGCAAAGCTAGCAAGCTAAAGCTCGCCGAGGCTCGGCTCCACAGGGCGCACGCACTCGGGACCGAGCGCTGCCCGATTTAAAAGCCTCCGGCTCAAGCCGCTGAGGACGTTAGGGTCTGGCATAGTTGTAGCAGCGGCAGGGCAATGATCAACCCTTTGAAAACCATCGAATATTAAGTGGGCTTCTAAGAAGCTACGTAACTCTGCTTTAAGAACCCTGAAACCCTGCACTTGCGCATCTTCTAAGACCTCAAAACTCGAAGCCCAAAAGCCCTTATAACCGAAGCACCCCGCCGAAAAATAATTTCCACGTAGTAGTAATAGTAGTAGTAGTAGTAGTAGTAGTAGTAGTAGTAGCAGTAGCAGTAGCAGTAGTAGTAGTAGTAGTAGTAGTAGTAGTAGTATAAGTATAAGTA